TCCATGTGTACATTTATCCTGCATCAACACATGCATCATACAGTTATCCCGGCGGTTAGCTCTTTCTTGAATGTTGCTCAGTGGAAGCACAAAACTCAACCCACTACTGCTTGTAATTTCCTCTTGGCATTTGAGTGAAATAACAGCAGTAGTCTAGCATGCAAGCAATTAAAAATTGGACTCCCACCATGCTTTTTTTATCTGTATGTGCTCCAGACAGAGCGAGCAGTGCACCCAAACAAAGCTGATTCAACAGTCATGTGCCTGATTCTGAATTGGGCTCATCTCAAAGCCCGTAGGCATGAAGGAAATGGGCAAATAACTGGATATTTTAAAATGTTCTTTGTATAAAATGGGTGACTCAAGGCTGTAAGCCCTCTGTTGTGGTAGTGTGAAGCAATTAAGCCATCTGGAAAACTGCATACACACACACACACATTTGTGCCCGTGCAAACGTGACAGCTTCTGCTAATTCTTTATTGTGAACTAACCATTTAGGCAGCTCCACACACTTGCGCCCTATTGATTCATGCACATAAACACAGGAGTTTTTGGTGAAATGCCATTTTACCAAGAAGTGACAAACCAGTCAGTCCACATAGTTACCTTTAACCTTTGACCTCTGTAAAATTACCACAACTATATGTTATGGTAATCCTAACAGACTCATAGTTCAAGATCTATAGAGACAACTAGGGAAGGTTTAGAGGAAAATGTCACATTGTTACACATTTTCTTGTTGGATATCATGAATTTCAGATGCACCCAAGGTGTGACATTTGTTGTTGTTGATGTTGTTCTTAAAGGACATGGTTCAAGATTTTGAAAAAGCACTTGCGTTCTTGCCTAGAATTAGCTACATGAGAAGATTGATACCACTCTTGTCTGTACCCTTCGTATGAAGCTAGAGTGATTCGCTTAGTCTAGCATAAAGACAGGAAACAGGGACAGCTTGCAGCAGCTTATATTTCAGTTTGTGTATAAATTAAACAAACAAGATGAACTGTAAAATGTAAAAAAAAAAGTAACATTTGTAGTTGTTTTTTTCTTTGGACAGAGCCAGGCTAGCTGTTTCTAACTGCTTCCAGTCTTTGTGCTAAACTAAGCTAAGAGCATGCTGGCTAGCTCTAGCATCATATTGACGAGAGTGGCGTTAACCCTCTCATCTAACTCTCAGCAAGAAAGCAATTATACTATACAAAATGACAAATTACTTTGACAAATATTTTTGATGTAACCTCAGCTTGGTAAACCAGCGACTTTCGCCTAAAGGCCTTTCTGGATCACACAGTGTGGTGTGGGTGGGTGTGAAATTGTTACTTTGAGCTGAGGATTATGTGTCTGTGGTAAGAGTTGTCTTGTCTTGAAGCTGCTCTACTTTCTGCTCTGTGACTGTGTGTGAAGAAAGTTTAGATTAGATTAGACTAAATGACTTGTTAAGATATTTTTGCAGTGTATACACAAACACGGACACCCTTCCTATGGGCTTTAACCACCCATAGGTACCAACTTTACACTCTAAATATGGGTAAGTGGGGTAATAAACATACAGTACTGTAAATACAGCAAATTCCAAGGCTGTTATGTACACTGTATAATGTATACACTGAGGATGCTAGAGAAGATGTTACCCAGAATTTACAGTATGAAGAATAATGCAGATAACTAAATAAGAGCTGTATAATCGTTTTTGTTGCTAAGTGATCATCAATCTTCCCCCAGATTACCTGTCAATCAAACAGACTGTAGTGGTCTTTCTTGAACCTTTAATTGATCCAAGTTTTATAGGTGGAAGATGCAGTATTTCTTTGTCTTTTCAAGGATGGTAGCCAGAAAATAATATATGTTGTATTATTAGATTTGTAGGAATAACTAGGTCTATAGTATTATTATTCAGCAAGAACTAGGTTTATATTTAGAAAGTTACTATGCCTGTGTTTGTTAATCAGTTTAGATGAAGCTATGGAGCCTGGACTCTGTTAGCTCTGGACTCTCTACCTGTACTCTCTTAGCTTAAGTAGCCTTTACAAGAAATAGACAGAGCCAGACTCACTCTTCTCACTCTACTGTATTTAGAGCTGCAAACTGAAAATTGTTCGCAAACTGAATAACCTTTGGGTTATCACAGTCACGGATAGAAAGTGGCCAAACAGATTTTGCACAGATATTACATTCACAGTGCGATCCTGGAACAAGTCTGATTTAAGGAAGAATCCAAAGTCTGTACGGCCTGTATCTCACAGAGATTGATTGGCATTGTCTGCTTTCTCTCTCTGTGTGTGTATACAAGTTTGTTTGGCAAAGACTGGAGGACAGCCCATCTCCCTGCTCCTGCACACACACTCAGAGTTAGAGAGAGCGAGGGAAGGACAGAGAGAGGGAGAGAGAGAGCCTTGTTACACTCCTCCTCAGGGATTTGCTTCTCCCCAGGGGAGCTGAGGGAACGGACCTGCTGCCCACGCTGCTGAATGAAAGAAACAGGAAGAAAGGAGAGAATGAATGGACAGAATAAATGAGTGAAGGGCAAGCAGTGGGACTCGTTTGACGGGTTTTGTTTGCGCTGGCATCGAGCATGCCTCACTGGCAGGTTCTGGCCGTCAGTTCTACCTGCGTACTGATCTGCTTCCAAGCGGACTCAGTGGTGACGGAGAAGCTGCTTCATGCTGCAGCTTTAGGCCAGAGCCAGTCCCAGCTCCAGCCTGCGCCGCTCACTCAGACATGGGGCCGGTCTGCTGCAAGCCGGACAGACTGAAGAAACAACATCTCCAAGGTAACGGGAAACAGATGCTGGGGATTTTTAACTAGTGTAGTGGAGCGCTTGTGTGGCTTTGAGACTGATGGAAGCATAAATAACATCTTATTTATGGCTTCTTCTTTTTTCTTCATAGTATGAAAGATACTCCTGTTCCTGCCTGATAGGTTTGCTTTTTTGTAAGATACGATATTGTGATTACATGTTTAAAGAAAATCTATACATTTTGAATCAACCAGACACAGAGAGACAGCACAGTCACTTAGTAACCTACCTACTTCTGCTAAATGTTTAAATGTGAAAGTGGATGAATTGTCAGTATATGGTTAAATAATTCCTATCTAACAACTGAGTTACATTAAGATTTATTCTTTTTTTTCAAGATGTATCATAACTTAGAAACTTCTCCTTCTTTCGCTTTGATCTTAGTATCTAATTAGCAAGGCAGGAGGTATCCTTATATGCAAATGAATATCATTCAGTGATTACAGAATTGATTTAGAAGCTAATATTATTGTTATTAATTATTGTAGGTGCATGACTGACGGGTCAGCTGCACACAGTTACTGACACAGAATGAGTACAGTGGGGGCTTGTTGCGTCCACAGAAGTGCATGCTGGATGAGGTGTTAGATCTGAGGAGTGGCTGTAAGGCCAGGTGATAACATGTCCTTAGTTGTCGTTTAGAATTCCTGCACTCACAGGGAAGTTATCCAGGGTGACTCTAGTATGGCCAATACTGTATTGTCATGGTTTGTATTGTCATTTTTTATGATTTATGTTTCTTGCACAGCTTTTGGCACTATAATCACATTACCTTCACCACCATCCCATTTAGACAATGCTATAATTACATTTTGTTCAGAAAAACTCACTATGAGTTGTGAGCTGGAGTATCCAACTCTCTCTCTCTCTCTCTCTCTCATACATAATACTGATAATAAGCAGCACAGAGGTCGTATAAAGTTAATCCCCAACCCAATTCATAGTGCCCAATCATCAGTCACATTATTAATAGAGGACCTGGCCTGAGGGACAACACACCAAACAGTGCATGAACTGTATGACCCTTGCTAGGCCAGGAGAGTAGTAAGAGACAGTGTATATTTCCTGGCTGTGCCACCAACATGAATACTAATGCACTTTCATAAATTGTAAGAAAAAAAAAATCTGTCTCATACAACCTAAGCAAGTTCTTAAAGATTATCTAAACCAACACAAGCAA